GTAGTGCAAATAAACTGTACATTTTGAACCGAAGAATATGAGTTCAATAGTAAAAACAGATATCGTTATTTTTGAAAACTTGCCAAAAACTTTTTCTTTTTGTTACCATTTTCAACAGATTTTATCATTGACAGTGTGTAGTGGATCTTATGAATTTTGATAGCAGTAAAATACTTTTGATTTTTGAAACTATTACTACACTAAAGGCTGCCACACACTACAGGAGAACTTGCCCCATTTTGGCTGCGTTTTGCTTCTCTCAGAGTGCGGGGAGGCATGACCCGACTTTGTGTCCTCGTGTGCGGTTTTGAAGACGCTGCGCTCCTTTTGTGTGGTGTCAGTGTGACTCTGAGCAGCTTTGTCAAATCATAACCACCAAATATCAGCAACGCTACGGTAACAGCCAATACAACAGACTGCTTCATGACATCACATGGTGGAACAGAGCATTTTGAGTTTTGGTGATCTACAGTGAACTGAGTAATTCTTTGTTATTAGTCTTAGTTATTAGTATTAAGTGTGGATGACACTAAACATGACTCCAGGTACTATGTTTTTAAGGTAACAACATTCTAACAAGACTTAAAGCTCTCAAGAGTCATACAGGCAAATAGGACTTCTTTATAATCACACCTTTTAACAATCGTAAGATTGGATTAATAATTTTTGGCCCAATGGAGATGTTTTTCCTTTGCCTGGAATGTTCCATGGTATGACATTAAATGTATCCACCTGTTTTATGGAGGATGATTGGCTTTTGATGTGCAGCACACAACAAACAACAACTAGCTCCAAAAGGTGGAGGGAATTCGGGTGGAAGTGTCTTATACGATTCTTTATTACTCCTCAAATTACTGCCAGAGTACAAGGGTTAGATTCTCATTGTTGGAGACAGTGTGGCCACTCAAATGCTAATCACTTTCATATTTTTTGGACATGTACAAAATTTAAATAATTCTGGGACAATGTGTTTGAAAAAACGGATACGATCTTGACTTATGTCATCCTCAAGGACCCAAAGATATTTTTGTTAGGCCTTCTGCCGCCTGAGGTGATCGAAAAAGCGGACAGATACTTTTTAAAAATTCTGACTTGGGCATCAAAAAAAGCAATAACAAGAAGCTGGCTTAAAAAGGACCCGCCGTCAGTGAACCAGTGGCTCGACATTATAGAAGAAATATGTTCAGTGGAATGACTGACTTTTTTGTGTACGTCTCAAAGGACATTTCTTCATTAAACACTGGACAAAATGGTTGAAATATAAACAAAAAGAGATTCAACTTCTATATCCTTATAATATTGGAACAGTGCCCCAGGTTTTATATTTACTTGTTTGTTTCTCTAAACTTGAAAAACTGAACAAATAAAAAGTAAAAAAAAAAACTGAATTTCTAACTTTATAGTATCAGTCGCATTATTTGGCCTGATCGCTCCTTGTCTTTTTAGAGGGACTTTTAAAACACCTTTACCTACTAATAGACTGGGTCCTCTGACATGTAAACAACTTCATTCTTGGCACTTACAAACCCACTCAGAATCATCTCCACTCAGTCTGGTTTTGCCTCGGGCTGCTGATGTCTTCGTCAGGTCTGACTCATCCTCTAATCCTGCAACATTTCTGCGAATCTGACCCAAATTCCCATTCGCCAACAGATATATTTTTGTGTTTTCATCTCTAGCGAGTCCACCGAGGCCTGTCACGATAACAAAATTTGAAGTGCGATATATATTGCTGTAAATATAGATGATGCCACTGACACAATAACCCAGGAGCAGATTTAAACCACAAAAAAGATTCTAAATGTGCAATATTGTAAAAAAGAAAAAAAAAGTCATGAGCTGCAATAAATAAACAGAATGAAACACTTAGTTTGCATCTGTAAAGAGTCACAGAAGTTAGTAATTCAACCTTTTTACCGCTTAAATCATAAAGACAAATTGACAGTGTGTAGTGGATCTTATCAAGAAGGGATGTAATTTTGATTGCAGTAAAATACTTTTGGCTACAACTTACTACTACTACACTAAAGCCTGCCACACACTACAGGAAAATTTGCCAAATTTTGGCTGCAATTTGCCTCTCCCAAAGTTCGGGGAGGCGTGACCTGACAATGTGTCCTCATGTGCGATTTTGAAGCCGTTGCGCTCCTCGTGTGTGTGGTGTCTTTGTGACTCTGAGCTGCTTTGTCAAATCATAACCACCAAACATCAACAATGGTACAGTAACAGCCAATAAAACAGAGTGTCAGGGGCAGACTGCGTGACGGACACAGAGGCGGTCTTTGTGTAAGACAAACTGAGGAAATAGACTTTATTACTCACCTTTTGTAAAGCCTTACATTTAAACTGCAGAATCTCATCTACATTATCCATAGAAATTGACCTCCACAAATAATGACACCCAATCCACAAAACAGCACTATTAATCCAGTCTGAAATGTTCTTTTAAAGTAAAAAGAGTAGTTCCTCACGTGTGTCTATTTATATCCACGCAGTGCACAAACCCTGGTAAAGCTACAGATTAGTGATAGCGACTACTTCCTGTATACATTATTACCAACCTTCTGTGCATTAAAAATCAGGTATCTGAAGATGTGAGCTGCGCTCACAACTTTATAGCCAGTGGTCCACAGACATATCCCACTGCAGTCTTTGCAACCGGAGATTTAAAATCTCATAAGATTCTCCTTGTGTCTGTAGGGTGCACTTTTTGTCACACATTCAAAAACTGTGTAATCCTGTAGTGTGTGGCGGCCTTCAGGGTAAACTACAAGTCTCCAATGACTTTTTCAAATCTGTTTGTTATTGCAACTTTTCATATTGTTGAATCGTTCATATATTAAATGATAAATCAATATTGTAATTATCGTGACAGGCCTAAAACCAACTGCTTCCTTGGGTTTATTATTAGGTAGGACATAAATGGCAATGACACAAACAAGTGAAAATGTGGATTATTTTTGCATGTGGAATCATACACAACACTTATGCACATATGACTCACACAGCTCCTTGGGTTGGTAATGACACTGTCTTTTGTTCCATACATGTAATTTTTTTATTTATTACAAGTCCAGAGAACAATATTGACTTTGGCAAAACCAAATGAGAACAGAAAGCAACAACAGTAGTAGTTGTCAATGTAAATCTACAGTACTGTGCAAAGATTTTGGGCAGGTTTTAAAGTAAGGCAATGAACGCAAAATCAAACCGTAAACAAATCCTTCCAAAGCGTTGACCCTACCACATAACTGTAACGGTGTTAGATTAAAATAAAGAGCTTATGATTCATCTTGTCGTCAATCTGTACCCCCCAAAATAAAGTATCAAATAAAAATAAATGATCTGAAACGTAGTATATTACAAAATAGTTTGCACAGTACTGTTAGCAACCATATTGTTTAGGCATTTGCTATGTGCTTTCCAACTTGTGCCTTTGTGCATCCTTGTGTGCTTACTGTAAAATTCAGTACTCTATCTCAATACATGTTCTAATCAAATTATACCAGAATTATTTTCACCCTCAGAAAATCACACTTCGTATAACTCATCCTAACATCATTCCCCGGGAAACTTGGAAAACAGAAACACATGGTGCGACAAGTAACATCATTTATATATATATTTACTATATATATGTATTTTCAAGTTTTATTTCATTTTTTTCCTCTTCAGAGTCTGTTTTTGTCCCTGTTATGGTCAATGGTATTGTTTCACTGTTTCATCATCTTTCTGTAACATTCAGTACTTTTGTAATCCTCAAGTCTGAAGTCGCAATCCCGTCCAAAAAATTGTTGCTTCCTTACCATGCTGCAATACTGCTTAAGGTATCTGTGAAAATTCTTACTCTACGTAGGAACAATTATTTTTGTTATTTTATGAGCAGCATGACTAGAAAGCTGTACTTTTTCAACACAAAAAATCCACAATTTCTGACCATAGACATTCAAATATTGTGCGTTCCTCCCCGTAGTGATTTGTCAATGCATGCACGTTTAGCATCCAGCGCTGGATCCTGCCTGTTAAAACCACGCCTCCTGCTTTTTTGTTTGGTAATCCACATCGACCATGTATTGTAATCCTCCATGTCTTCTCTTTTAATAACATCTTTGCTCCTTCCAGCTCCTTATCGATTGATCATGTCCAAAGCTGCAACTCTGTATTTACGCCCCTATAATCCGCGGGCCCAAACAGCAGCGAAAATCATTGTCCACAACCACGGAGGACACATAAAAGTCACATTCATTGTATTTTATTTTTTGGGGAAAGAAGGGAGATTGGAAATGGCCCGTTGCAGTAACAAGAACAATGAAAAACTGCCCCATTTTTTTCTTTTTTATGATCCTTTCCAGAGAAGAGTGCTTTCGTGTTGTTTTTTTGATCTGATGTTGTGGTGCTGTGTGGGTTGGTCCCCCGGAGAATGTAAGTCTGGTTCTATTAGTGCCTAAGCTTTTCTGAGATTTCCCCTGATGTCCTCACCTCGCTGTCTGGGATCTGTTACCTTGTACTCCGACTGGCTGGGATGCGTTTTCGCCGATTTTTTATTATGTCCCTTCTTCCTGTTGTATCTATCTGTACCTGTCACAACGCCGCTTTTGTTTTTGTCGCGCTACTTTCGCTTCTGTCATAAAGCTTGATGTCAGCCTTGAGTATTTAATACCCTTTCACCAGCGCTCCGCTCCAATATTTTCTCCCATTCTTTCCCTGTCAACACTTGGTTCCCCACACTAATTTTTCTGCCAGTCACTCTTGAGGTCAGCAAAAAGCGCCTTCTAAAAAACCTAGCTTTCAGGTGCATTTTCTCATTTCGGGTGACTACTCCCCAGGCAAATCAAGCTGCAGCACAAGACTGCGGCCGATACTTCTCCTCTGTCTGAATCTCCCCATCACCACTTTATCTAACCCTCCCCTGCCTCCAGCGCTCTGCCCTCCCCAACAACACACCACACTCTGGCCTCCGCTCGGTCACAAGCTTTTACACACTTCCTCTGCTCTTCCTCCTAAACCACACTCTCCTCCAGCTCCTCCGCACTCTTCCCTTCTTTACTTTTCTCGCGTTTGGTCTCTTTGCTGTCTTTACCCTTCCCACAGGTGATCCCTGTGTTAGAGTTGGAGTTTGTTGTGTTGTACGCGTGAATATATCCCCGCTGAAAGTCACAGCGTGCCCCAAAGTTGCTCCCGGAGTCGGCCTCGTCACTGGTGGTGGAGGAGGTGGTGCTTGTGGTGGAGGCGCACTGCACCAGCATCCCGTGCAGAGACTGGCTCCTCCTGGTCCAGATGACGCTCAGACGTTTGGCATAGCTCACGGCGCCATAACGCTTGGCCACGGTTGCCGCGGCGTCACTGGCCAATGCCACAGACGAGCCCATATCCAGGGAGTGGCGGCGCTTACTGATGGCCCCACAGCCCGGGCTGAGGGGGGATATGGGGCTCTGGTACGCCTGGGAAGAGTTCCATTTGTCCCGGCCTCTGGGGTTCATTCTCCAGTCTAACAGCTCAGCGTCTCTGAGGGGGGCTGCCAGAGAAAAACTGGCCCGATTGGTCAGCTCGCGCTCAAGCCGTGGCGGGGGGCGTTCCCTGGAGCGTGAGCGCCGGGGCAGAGTGGAGGGAGGGGAAGGGGAGTAGTACAGCAGAGTTCTGTCACTGTCTGAGGTGTAAGCTTTCTCCAGCTTTCTCTGCCGCACCACCAAAGCCATCTCCCCCCCTGTGCTGGTGGAGACCACGCCCCCTGCTGACAGGAACTGCTCCAGGTTGACCTTAGGCTTGGCCCGGGGTTTAGGGGGCAGTTTGGGAGGCACAGAGGAGGCAGATTCCACCACTTCCTTCTCTTTCTCACTGTCTTTCTCTTTCTCCCCTCTTTTGGCTGGCAGCCCATTGGGGAGAACCACCATCATCATGTCCCCCTGGCCATTGGACTGGTAACATCCACTGCTGTTCCCTCCTTTGTCTCCGCCCCCTAGCCCTCCGCTTTGGCAACAAGCTCCACCTCCTGCCTCAGTGTTGCCATTGTGACATATCATATGGTCCGTATGGTTGCACACACGATGACGAACCATGAGCGCCACGGTAAAAACAAGTAGAGTGACCACTACGATGCCACCAACCAATATAGTGAGCGTTCCACCCAGGAAGTGTGCTTGGAGAGAACGGCATGCCGGGTAAACATCCTTTGTGGAAAAGCTGGTGCAGCCCAGGACCTTTGTTGCCGCTAATGTTGTAATGGAGTCATCAAAAATGGCGAGCACGCATAGGTTATAATCCACTCCGGAGACCAGGTTCTTGAGCAGGAAGCGGTCACTGGTGGAGGGCAGAATCCTAAAGGGGGAGAGAAGAATAGGAAAGCAGAGGTCAGCTAAATTAATATTCCCAAGATATCTGCAAAGTTAAAGCCAAAGTAAACTCCAGCAGCAGAAGCCCACCTGGCATATATATTTGCCTATTGAAAGTAAAGGAAAAGGGGAGCGTATAACAAAGGAGTGTGTGGAAATACCAGTGAAAGGATGAGTGAAGCGCCGCAGAAGTGGAGACTGCGGTAAAGGGAAAGGCAGAGAAAATGAGGCTATTGATGGAGAGAGGACCCAGGGAACATGAAAGGATAACTCTGTCTGCTCATTTGGAGTGCAGGCCTGGTGCAGACCCACTGCGTGATCTGACTTGAATGCCACGAGAAACCCCAACATCAAGCCATTTCTGTGCCACTGAGACTTTTCAAATTTTTATGGGTTAGAGGAAAACAGCTGAGGGCGGGGCTTATTTTGATTTCACTTTAGTTCAAGAAGTAAAGCGGTTTTCACACCAGATATCACCCCAATTACCCCGTACAACAAAAAGGTGATGGTGAGGGTTCAGATCAGAGAGCATCCTTAATCTTTAAACCGACTAGATTTCAGCCTGCCGTTGAAACTGGCAACTCAGATAAGATACTCATGTGAGGCTCATTCTGCATTTTTACTGGAACCTAACACCAAATTGGATATTATGGTTAAATCTGCTGCACACTTATCATCAGTAAAAGCTATATTTTGATTTGAACATCTTGTACATCTCTCGTATCTGGGGACATGGACAGTGATGCGAAGAATACTTTGAAAATGTAATTGGTTACAGAATATTGAATACGCTTTATATACTGTATGTTTTAACATTTGTTTTGCGTTCCCTCTCACTAACTGGAGAAGGAAAATCACATATACTGTATTAGATTTTTTTCTCACTAGTTACATGCAGTTTGAAGCCTAAATTACGTGATCAAGTACTGCAATTAGTGATGGGCAAATGTGACAGAGCTCCAGAGCACGTCTCGTTCTGAAACAAATTGCTCGTCTCGCAGCAGCCGCTCACGTGACCGAAGTGTCGGTGCCTCCCCCTACTGCTTCGCTCTGCGTGTCAATTGCTTCAGTGTATCGAAGCGTTTCATTGGCTCAGCGAATGTACCGCTTTGCGATTGGTTCAGAGTGTTCAGCGCACTTCCGTGGTTTGACAAGCGCTAAACTGCCACACTATAAAAGATGCACCAATATTAAAAATGTTGGGTAGTGAGGAGTGTTGTGTGACATTAGTGGTGATTTTAGTGACTTTTGGCATTAGTTTAATTTTCGATGGCATCTACAAGTGGAAAAAAAGTGATCCATGGTTTGAGATCACTTTGATCTAATTCCACCTAACAAGGTAACAGCTGTTTTCTTATTTACAGCTGCTATTTATGTTGCTCTTGACACATTATTTTAAATCATCATCATCATTATTGTAGTTGTTAGGTACGGTGTATGCTCTGCACACAAGTATTGTCTTACACTAACAACAAACACTTTGACGCTGAGACACCTTCATGCCAATGGTTAAATTTGTCCACTAGAGGTCAGTGTTTGTTCAAGGCCTCAGACACGTCGAACCATCTGAGACAATACTGAGGTGTCAATGCTTCACGAGGCTCCATTCGCCCATCACTAACTGCAATGGATTCCTTTGATTTTAGAAATGTAACTGCATTCTGAATACCCGTTAGTGGTAAATTAGTATTCAGAATATGTATTCTCTGTACATGTATTGTTACTTCCCAACTCCGTACACAGATCGGTGTTCTGTCAGTTTATGGAATTTGAAATAAAAATTTTAAACATGTTTTTTTTTTTTTTTTTGTTTTTTTTAGATTTTAAGTGTCAGATCTAGTTTAAACACAGCTATTACCAGCGCAAGAGGTTTGCATACCACGTTTTGAAACCCACTTGGCTAGCGCTTTGAAAGAATTTGTTTTCCCTGCAAATTGTAACCACCTGCAATGACTAAACACTGCGTAATACAATGAAGTGTTTTTGAGTGCTGATTACTGCGCAAGTGGTAGTTAAGAAATGCAACAAAGGGACCGAGAAGAACAACGAAACCAGCTAGAGGCTTGTCAAATGATTTTTTTTGTTCAGGCATCACCTCTACATTGTGTACATTATATTACATTGTGACGCACGCTTTAAATCCTTTGTTCGGTCCTGACAGTTTGTTTTTCCCTGAGACGTGTCATTGTGTGGGAGCTGGAGTATCTGTTCCTATGACTTTCCCCTCCACGGTCCACTCCTCTTGTGTGGGCATGAGTGTTTTGATGTTGGATTTGTTGTCACCCTTTTTTGTATTCTCCACTGACGCTATCTCTGCCTCTTTCACACTCCCTGCCTTTTCAAAGCGTATCAAAAAACTTGTATTGTCTTCGTGTTTTGGAGCTCCTCCTAGACGCCCGATACAACCCACAAAAGGCGTCTCAGTGTGGTGTGAGTCAGAGTCAGGGCGCAGCGGAAGCCCCCTACTCCTAAAATTTTAACAACTCGTGATACTAAAAGTGCTAAAGTGCACCGTGTAACTTTTTGGTTGGGGGTCCGTCATCTGTTTCTGTGGAGATGTCATTGCTCTGCTTGGAATGTTCCACAGTATGATGTTAAAAATACATAGAAAAACAGGCATTCTGGCTGTGAGCGAGGTTGTGTCTCCACAGATCTGCCCTGTAACTTGGTCTGGTTTGGTCTCCATGAAGATAGAAAAATTTTGTACCATACTGTGAAACATTCCAGACAAAGCAACAACATCTCCATGGCAGAGTCCTGCACAGGTCCATTATTGGAGACCCGCACCTGCCCACAACCGTGCACTACAGCACCACACCCGTCCATTAACCCATGATTATCAAAGTTAAATCCTCACCCGCCTGGACCTGATAACATGCCATCCGTTACCCGCTTATGGCCATGATAAATTAGGGTCAGCCCATTAGTCCAACATCCCACTAAACCAGGACTAAACCAGGACTAAACCAGGACTAAACCAGGACTAAACCAGGACTAAACCAGGACTAAACCAGGACTAAACCAGGACTAAACCAGGACTAAACCTACGCCATGTCAGTAGTGGATTATAAATATATACATGCCGATCGCCAGGACTGCACTAGGACTGGACCAGGTCTAAACAAGGACTAAACCCAGTGTCATTAGCATAAATACATGCCTCAACCCCCGAACCGATCACCAGGACTATACCAGGGCTGGACCATGTCTAAACCAGGACTAAACCAGTAATAAATACACTAAAGTCACTCTCTCATCCTGGTCTGCTATCATTCCAGGAAAAGACCGTGAAGTGACACTTGTTTCCAGGGCAACGGACGTCCTGGACACGCTCCAAGTATTTTTCTCCTGTTTGTTGTTCATTTGATTGACCTGGTAAACCCGTGTGTAATCACTACCCTCCCGTAAAATTCCAGAAGTTAAAACTCGCCCGTTTCAGCAACTATTTGCGGGTACCCGACCCAGTGCAGAAAAGCATTTGACGTACACTCCACCAAAAAAGTTGCACAATGCACCTTTAACATAGATGTCTACTTCTAGTTTATTCATGTAAAGGATGGCAGCTGGCATACAAAATGTGCAAGTCCAAAGTCCAGTAATGTGCGTTAAAGGAAGAAACTTTCAATAATCCAGCTCGATCAACTATGCGTGCTTTAGTCTGTTACAAATTTGTGCATATGGAAAGGCTTGTGTTGGGGAGGGCATCTGTCATAAATTAAATAATAAAAAACTAAAAAGCTGAGGAGCAGGATACAATTGGCCATAAAATTTCCAATAACCTCGCTATCTCACTCACTCTGCCTCAAAGCTAACAGTCACTTTTATTAAAATCGTAAAACATACAATAAACAACCTATTAAAATTCTAATTGATTAAAATAGAGACTGCATGATTTTTATGTGGAGAATACTGCAGTTTGTGGCATTGTTTTAATAATTTATTATGCCCCAAAATCAGCATTAGCGTTAGTACTGAAACACAAACGTCCTCTGTTGAAGTATTAGTTTATTTGTGTCCTTTTTAACATGCAGCCCCCTGTTTACTGCTTTATCTTTCAATATGTAATAAGTTTAGCATGACTCACCCAAAATTGGACAGGAAGTAGTGACGCTAAATGTGTGGTTCCCTATTGTGCACAGAGCCTATTGGCATTAAATCCCCTATAATTGACAGTTGTGATGATATTAGGAAGATGTTTTAAGGTTTAGATAATGCAGTTTAATGCTTAGCTGAAGGGAAAACAGGAGTGGTCTACTTAAGAAAAGACTTGTGCAAGCAGCGCATATCGGATATTGATAAGTGAATTAAGCCAGCTTTAAGGAAGTGTGCATCAAGTTTTTAAAATGTATTTATTTACTGGTTCATTGTGTTGTCCATTGTTAAAGGTACACTATGTAAATTGTCTGCTGGAGGGTCCGTCACCTGCTTATCTCAAAGACTAATGAACTTCTGCTAACTTATGAATCTCCATGGAGACTTGCAAACCACATTTTAAGATACTTTTGAGCAATAAATAACACCTGTAGTTGAATAAATGCAAGACACATTAGTTTAATATCATACTTTGGACGACGTAACCCAAAGCATTAACATCTGCATGGAGACAAACAGGTTGTGGACTAGGGCTGGGTATCTTTAAAAAATTGTCGATATGATACATACCTCGATACATATGTCAAAATACAATACGCTTTTTGATACAGTGAGCTTTCAATTTGATTTGATATGAATCTGTATGAGATATTGCACATCGATTCAATACAATTCAGTGAAAAAAAGGCTAAATCATGGCCTTGATACTAAAAGTCTACCAAGTCCACAAAGTTTCTGCAAAGTTATTAGGACAAACACCAATTTTATTCATCAAAACAGTGAAAATGTCAACAGTTTTGTCGCTTTTAAACAAAAATTACTCTTGGCGATATGTCGATACAGCAGCCCACAATATCATCAAATTAAACGGTACGATATATTGATATTTCAATA